GGACTCGGCGGTGGATTCGAGTGTTTCACTGGATGCCCCTGGGTTCCACGCACCCAAAACCACCTTCAAATTCAACTTCCGCTCAGCTTAGTGCCTCGGCAGCCGCAGGTGCCCCGTAGATTTAAGTTCCGCTCCGAAATGCTAAAATCAGTTGTAAATGGTGTATTTTATTTCTGCTGAGGGCAAAACTGCGCAGAAGTTGAATTTGATGGTGGCTTTGGGTGTGTGGCACTCAGGGGCATCCAGTGGGACACCTGAATCCACCGCTGAGGCCTTGGTGTGCCACCGGATTCAACTTCCGTTTTTCCCCTGCAAATGGTCCACAATACAATAGCCACCACCGCTTTGCTACACCGGACTCAACCCAGGCTTGGTTTTGTTTTCTGAACTTTTCGAATCCTAGGTTTCAAATTTTTCACTTTGAAGCTTTCCAATTTTTCACTCCAAAGGTTTCAAATTTTTCACCACAAAGATTTCAAATTTTTCACCTTCAAGGTTTTGAATTTTTCACCTCGAAGTTTTTGGATTTCTCACCTTCTTTATGGGCAGAAAATTTCTATTAAATCTGAAACATTACTGTTGAAAATGTTTTGAAAGAAATTAACATCTTTATTTGAAGTTTTTCACCATCATTCTCACTGCAAAAAGTGGTAAGAAGCTTTTGAATTTTTCACCCACTTTTGTGGCCAGAAATATGCTGTGAAATCTGAAGGATTACAGGTGAAAATGTTATAAAATAAATTATCAATTATCTTTCAAGTTTTTCAGCAACTTTCTTACTGAGAAATGTGGTATGAAACCTTTGAACTTTTTATCAACTTTTTCAGTGGAAAAAAAGATGTGAAATTTTAAATTTTCTTTTCGGATTTTCTCAGTCAGAAATCCGAAATGTTCATCCAGTGTATACTGTCCCAGAAAAAAAAAAGATGATTGTGAAAGGAAAAAAGTCAGGCTGGAGCGTGGAGAGTAAAAGAAGCATAGTGATGATGGCGGACAAAATCCACCGGACACCGGACAGCTGTAGCAGTCACTGGAACATTTCAGATTTTGACTGAGAAAATTGGTGAAAACTATTTTGAATTTTACATCAATTTTTCAGTGTAAAATGGGTGAAAAAATTGAAACCTTTTGATGAATTTTTTTTGATTCTGAGTCAAAAAAAGCTGAAAAATTCGAAATATCTCAAAGTATCTACCAAGAAGTCTCAAGTTTTTCACTCATTTTTTCAGTGAAAAATTGCTGCAAAACTCAAAATAATTTTTTACCCATTTTTTCAGTCAAAATCTGAAATGTTCAACCAGTGAGTGATTTGCTCCAGTGAATGCATTACTTGCATCTGTAGGGAGGGTTTGGCGTAATATATGTTCCTGTATTTTCTTCCTGGGAGACACGAAGCTCAACTCGCGGAGCAACACCAAGCTTCAGTCGTCACCCAAGCCATCCCTACTGCAATCACAATTCCGGCCACTGACAACATCCCTTCCACCGATGCGTGGCTCCCATCGCCTGCATTTGAGCCCTCTGACAACGACCTGGAGACCGACGGTACACCCTTTTGGCGCACTGATGACAAAGTGATCCTTATGGACACAGAAAGTGACAACGAGCACCTTGCCCTCGATGGGTATCGCAAGTCGCGAGCTGTCCCACTGACACACAACGATCTGTATGTCAGTACGGACCGCCTGCCGGAGTTGACCACCACCCGGGATCATCAAATGTGCGGCATTTGCCTTGAAGTCAAGTCGCACCCAGTCTCGTAGGTTTTTCACATTTGCATATCGCGACTTCAGTATTGAATCGGCGCTGCAGGTACTAGTGCGGCCACAGCCACTGCTACGTCTGCATCCGACTTTGGCTGGAGCAAAATGGACGTGTCCTGTGTGTGCCGCTGATGCTTTGCCAGCCGGTGCGGCAGAGGGGAGAGATTCAAGGAATAGCATGTGATTTTCCAGAGTGGAAAAATAAGAGCAAGGTTTCTTATTTGTGGCAGGGACTGACGTGAAGCGCATCTGGTTTGTTCAATGTGACAATACAAGTGGGGCATTCAATCCTGCGCGCCAGTCCATGCCGCAAACACATGAATGAAGTGTGTGCTTGCAGCACGTCAAACAAACACGCAGCTCGCAAAGCTGCGGAAGCTGCTTCAGTGCGGCATCTGCTTCAGGGCAATGTTGAGCATAGGGATTTTCTTCACACTGGGCCTTCATATCCAGAGTAATGATTTCCAGTTGCAGCATGCACATTGGGAGTTGTTCAAGGGTTTCTGCCAATCCGATTGGCAGGCCAAGTTTGCTGACATCGGCCGTGAGGGTCAGAAAACGAAGAGAGGGAAGTTTAGGCAGCGGAACAGGAGAGTCATGGCCTCCTACCGCTAGGTAAGCAGGATCATTTGGAAATAACAACAGAGGCATACAGTAAAAGTGGACGGTGAGATGCTCGAGTGATGAAGACTGTGTTGCTATGTCTTCGAGACCACAAAGGGACCCAACTTGGGGAATATGCAGCTCCAAGTGCCGAAGTTGCGATAAACATGGTGCTATGGTTCCGCTACTGCAAATCAGATTACGGACAGGATTGCCGTTTGGCAGTTTGGCTAGTATGATCGCGAGATGCTGGAGAGGCACCCTGGAGGATGGATTAAGGTTTGGTTTGTCGTCTGGACCGATCCTGACGCCCATGAACGTGACCTCCTTGTATGACAAAAGAAGCTGTCGGATAAAGGAAGGTGTGACTTTGAATCAACGTCACCTAATAATCCCAGCTTACAGTACTAATTAGAGGCCATGGCGGTTCTAATTAGAGGGGATATTGGAAACCTGCACATGCTGCAGAATAGGTGCAGCATATGAAAAAGGACTTAGAATATTATTTCCTGTGTGTATTATATAATCACACGCACCCCCGCCTTGATGGCGGGTGGCGCGCTGTCCCAAAATGGAAGTCAGTCCAAAAAAATGCAATTAATTCACCAAAAATACAAAACAATATTATGCAAAAAAAAAACCAGCTACTTGCTGCACCGCCATGGTCAACCGCCAGCATGGAGATCTGGTATACCAAGCTGGAGAGCTCCACCTCTCGCTCTTCCCCTTCACCCTCATCCTCTGAGTCCCTTGCCGAGCCAACCTGCATGCCTTCTTGGTCCTCCTCATCTTCCCACCATTCCTGCTCTGGCTCCTCTTCAGCCTCCTGCCAATTTTCCCTCGTGGTGTCCATGCCGGCCCCGGCTTGAGCTCTTTCTTGGTGGGTGCAGCAGCTGGAATAACAAGCGGTGGAAGCGGCCGGTGTAAGGTAATAAGGTCAACAACCTCGGTACCAAACTCAGTGACGCCGGCCCATTGAGTTTCGCGTGCCAGCTGCTCCGTGGATGAAATCTTGAAGAAATGAGCACAGTCAATGATGCGCTGGAGCACCTCGTTTGACATGACAATACTCGGCCCCGAGTTCTTGAGTACGATGCAACCGAATTTGGGAACTGTGGTGGTACACCGAAAGCCATGTAAAACATCTCGGAGGTTCATGTCAAGCGCGTCGGTGTGATATGATGCAATGCGAGATCGCCGGGGTGCTGCCTGCTCCCTCAACGGAAGGTCCACGCGTCCAAACATCTCCAAAAACTGAGGATTACAAAGCTCACAGCAAATTCGAGGTGTCTGTGCAACACAGCGTGGACATCCCTCAGGCAAATCCGGCCGGCAATCTTTGTGGTCAGACACTGTAAACTGACCTAATCATCTCATAGATTGAATATGGAACGGAGGCAAGTGCACCTGCTTTGTCGCTACCAAAATACAGCCGATAGGTCGCTTGTCTGACCCGGCATTGATCATGTTGTCCATCTCCTGTGAGCTCGTTCCCGTCCTTCTTTGGCTTCTTCCGCTTCACAACCGCCTGCTTGTCTTTCCAATATGTGTCCCGCCGTTCCTCCAAGTTAAATGCAGCCTCGGCTCCTTCTTCCGGCTCAGAATCAGAGTCGGAATCGTCAGAATTGACTGGGGCTGTAACTGTGCTCGTTTCTGCCGAGGTTGTAGAGAATCACAAAGCTGCTACAGGGCGTGGAGGTGATGTGATGAAACAAGAGCGGAGGTTGGCCAGCGGCACGATCGGACCAACAGTGGGACCCACATTGCCAGATCCGGATTGCTGACTTCCATCAGATCTTGCACTCTTTGCTGGCGGTTGTGACCCTGCATCGTGAGCTTTCCGTTTACGGCTCTCTGCAGTCAGTGCTCTCTTGGACTTACACGCTGCTTTCTCCTCTTTCGTCTGATCAAAATACATTGGCTCCACCAGAAATAAGGCAATCGCTTCGCACTTCGGGTTGCGTGCGCCGCGTCCAAACCGCTGCCAGAGCATGCACATGTCACAGCTGGCCTGCCACTGGATTACAAGGGTTATATTTGGAAGATCAATGCCCTATGAAAATATTAGCTTGTGCTGTCTAATATGTTATTGTGCAAAAGACTGGCTGAACCGGGAATCGAACCCGGGACCTTCTCGTATCATGTGAGATGCTCTGATCCGAAGATAACCACTGAGCTATTCTGCCGATAGTGTGAAGGGTAAATCCCAGAAGGACCTTCAACACTCCCCCGGAACCTTAGCACTATTGGCATCAGGAACTCGCACAAGGGGGCACCAAATCTATTTGCACAGGGATTGACATCAATGATGCCAACAGGTGTTTTCCGGGAAACGCCGGGGCCCATAACCTGTTAATGTGCAAAAGACTGGCTGAACCGGGAATCGAACCCGGGACCTTCTCGTATCATGTGAGATGCTCTAATCCGAAGATAACCACTGAGCTATTCTGCCGATAGTGTGAAGGGTAAATCCCAGAAGGACCTTCAACACTCCCCCGGAACCTTAGCACTATTGGCATCAGGAACTCGCACAAGGGGGCACCAAATCTATTTGCACAGGGATTGACATCAATGATGCCAACAGGTGTTTTCCGGGAAACGCCGGGGCCCATAACCTGTTAATGTGCAAAAGACTGGCTGAACCGGGAATCGAACCCGGGACCTTCTCGTATCATGTGAGATGCTCTAATCCGAAGATAACCACTGAGCTATTCTGCCGATAGTGTGAAGGGTAAATCCCAGAAGGACCTTCAACAGTTGAAGGACCTTCAACATAATAGTGGCAATAAAACCGACCATTCCAAACGACTCGGTACATAAGAGACCCCAGGTTTGGCTGTCCTTGCATTTGTCAGATTCCTCCGCGCGAAATTCCGGTGACATCTCGGAGTTAAACCACACAATCTTGTCCCGAAATTCCAGCGGAACAAGGCTGCGAAGATACTGAGCCACGGCGATGGATTCTGTGATGCTGCTGAAGAAGATAACAAATTTCCAAGGTAGCGGGGTTGTGCCATCCCCGGGCGGAATGAGGAACACGAGATCTTTCAAAGAATTTAAGGGGTACTTCATCTTGCAGACAGTGATGTGGACATTGTGGCGGTCATGTGAGCTTACAAATATCTCTGTCTTGGTCTCACGCATCTGAAGAATTGACATGACATCGTGTAAGACATCAGCAGGACATCACGGAGGTGATATAGAAGGGTATGTCTGTGGGAATGAGGTGTCGGAGTGTTCCCGCAATCTTGTATTCTGGCCGGAAGTCACCCCACTTGCTGATACACTGGGCTTCATCCCAGACAACGCTGATGATCTTCGACATAAAAGCCTTGTTGTTCCACAGCTTTTCAAAGCCCCCGCCAACTTTCATCAGCGGAGACGCTGATATCGGACAATGGCATGATGCCGGCCATCAGCAATTGCCTACATGGCGTGGGTTATCAAAGGCCTCGATGCATGTCAAGAAGCTGTCGCGCACCTGGAAATTCTCTGGTGTAGCCGTCTCCGCCGTGATCGTGATAGCAGAGATGCCTACTTTGGCAAGAGAGTCGACATTCTGCTTGCCGAGTATATTTAGAGGCATGACAACAATTTGGATGCCATCCAGAACAAAAAGAAGGGGCATCCAAAAGGTTAATGTTTTCCCTGAGCCTGTAGCGGCAATGGAAGTGACATCTCTATCCCTCTTGAGGATGGCCCGGACCACCTTGAGCTGCCAAAGGCAGGGTCTATACCCAAATACACCCTCTACTTTGTCCCGGATTTCGCTGAGCAGGAGGTTATCGAAGTTAGGAGGGGCCATGAGAAAGTTTGGGGTCAATAACGCATCAGGGCGAGCAAGTGCGACACGTCAAAGTTTGTTGACAGAAGAGAAGTAGTGATGGCGGTGGAAGAAGCGGGTGGCTGTGGGGTGGCTATGTTGTTTACATTTGTTATATGCCAGCCTCCGTGGAGGGTTGGGCTGTCATAGAGTTCGGAGTTTGAATTTGGGTTGTTATGATGGCATGTGTTTTTTTCGGTAAGGGGTATTTAATTCGCCGTAGTTCTACTGAGATATCGACTTTAATTTTACTATTGAGAATCCCCAACCCCATAACGTGAGGCTGGGTAGGAGACTGGTGTAGAACATGTGTTGCTGACTGATGCTGACTGATAGCCTCGTTGTAACCACTTTGTACAGTACTAGTATTTATAGGGCTTGTAGTAGCAGTAGTTCTCCAGTCTTGAACTGGTCATATCTCCAGCTGGTCATATCTCCACTAGCAATACAGGCAGTTCACACATCCTCCTATTCTCTTTTCAGTCTGAGCACGACCTTGGCCTTTTTTGCATCACTGCATCGCATCGGCTAGTGTGTCTGACATAAGCTCAAGACTTCCCACCCAACCTCGTGCTCACACTCCTTCTATATCCTCCATTACGAGTCCATGAGGAATCGTTCTTTCCCATCACTCTACACTGGGTTTTTGGATCATTGTCAGCCCACCGTTACTACCCATACTGCCGATTGGTTGATGCTTTGATTGATGGTTGCTATTAAACACGCTCACGTGTTTTTCTCCCCTCTCCCTTGCGTTTCTCTCACTCAGTGTTTAAAGTCCCTACTTTTTTCTTCTTGCCTTTAGGTGGTTTTTTTCGTCCTCTTATTTGGATAGGAAGACGTTAACGTTCCCATCACACGCACCGTAGGTATACTATGCTGTGCCGAACAGACCTTGACTGATTCTTTTTATCATCCATTTTGCCGCTTCTCCCTCGTCGACCTCTGGTAACTCTCGACACTCTACATTCTACCGACCAACCTCGCCTTATTCACGGTTCCGATGTATTTATTTATAGACTGGAAAGTTATGTTCCGGGCTGATTCAATTGTGATCCGCGACTTTCACGGTGGGTTAATAATTTGAGTTTCTGGTTGTCTGCTGCCAAGGTGGAGCCTACCTGAGAGAGTGGACCACACCCGAGAGAAGGCCCTGTCACTTCTTTTGTCGACCGTAGTGCACAAATATGTGCTCCTTTTCATATGTACCCTTTCTAATTACTTTGATTCTACAATATCCACCTTGGTAGCGATCATTATTACGCGGTTAGAGCCAGGTGTTCCCCTCAACTTGGTTGTGATCACTACCATGTGTCCAATCAGTGCGCCTGCTGCTCCGAATTTGTCTTTGCATCCGCCTTCGACTCTGAATACCACGCCGTGCAGGACGATGGTGTTTGAAGGCACTTGCATTCTCTGTGAATTGTTTTTACGTTTTGTTCATCATCTGTAATCAGTGCGTACCTCTTCTCCGCATCAGAACTCCTCCAGATGGTGCATTTGCCTCTCAAAAGCCTGATTTATCAAAATCACCTTTCTTGTGTTTTCTTTGAACAGGGGAGCTCCAATCTCCCAGTAGGTGCCTCAGGTGCCTACGTACTGCACGATAGTCAGTGTTCTTTGCTCAAGGTTCCTTTTGGATATTTCACTTGCCTGTCCAAAGACTTGCCCGAACACTTTCGCTTTTGGATAATGCATTGTGTCGTAGCAGGTGAGTCCCGGTGGTTTGCCGTCTCACCATATGTTGCGATGTTTACTGCTCGAGTGGAATGTGTCGTACATCTTGTATGTTTTCCTCTTGTCTGCCCACAGGCGAGGTCGGTCCATCTCGGGTTGTCTGCAATTGTTCCTCTCTGTACTTATAGCTCACGCAGTCTAATTTCCATGCCGTTCTCGTGTTCTGATGTGACCGTTGAAGCAACCGATTGGTTCCAGATCTAGGTGAGATTTTGCCATATGTGGGTATATATTTGTACCTGGGTACCGCTCTGATTTATCCTGCTTCAACCCTTCATTCTTCCCACATCTTTTGTCTCCTCAAAAAACTGGTGTTTGTTGGTCGTTTGGATTTCGTTTCACCCCTTCCTGTGCTTATTAGGCTTTCATTAGCGTCTATTATGCATGGTGGAGGCGGTGAACTCGCTGCGTCTATTCTGAGTTATGTGTCTCCGTATGTGGCGATGGGTGTGTCTTTTAATCTGTCCCTACTCTTCTGTGTTTTGAACCTACAGTATCAAGGCACATCTTCTAGCATTGTGGTCGTTTCTGCTGCAGAATCCGAACCGTCCTTGATACGTCTCAGTTCGATTACTGCTACCCTGGAATGGCTTTTTGTAAATAATACGGTGTACAAATTCGTCAAGGCTAAGCTTTGAATGTACTGAGTTAACGGTGGTCAGCTACTGTGCGCAGATGTTGAAGATGGAATGGAATGTTGGGGCCAATAATAGGTCCATGGTGGAACCCGTCGAGCATATGGTAACGAAGGTGTATCCGTAGGCTTCTATGTGCCGCTTGAAGGCATGGAGGCGCTTCTTCCTGTTCCAGCTGCACTGTTAGTAAATTTAAGGACGTGCATGGTGGGGATGTCTGGGGGGGGGGGGGGGGGGGGGGGGGGGGGAACAGGAATGTCATGGGGGGATAACTTCGATAATGCGGAATATTACTGTGGTTGTGTCCACAAATAACGGGAAGGTGTGTAGGAGTGCGGGACATTGGACGTTGTGATATGGATGAGATGCAGCCCCGGTGGATACTTGGCCGATTCCGCAGCACGTCGCCAGTCACATTGGTATCAATGTGTGCAAATACCCTTTTGGAATGTAGTCGCGATTGTCAACCGATGCGTTTCTCTTGGCATAATTTGTCTCCTGACTTCCTGCCCCTCTCCCTCTGTCTTGCTGTCTTGTCCTATTCTCTTCTGTTTCGTTCGCCTCACTACACCTTCGGATATGGTTTAGCCCGCTTTGCGATCGCTTTCATTGTCAATCTGTTTGGTGCAAGATTGTTATTGGCTGACTATGAAGTTTCAGTGGTTGGCTTGCTTATCGCTGGAGTATGTTTATTTACCACGCTGATTTTATTATTCATGATCCTATTCTCTACCTGGATGCTTTCTGTCCTAGGCTCTTTTTGTAACATGATCTAAAAACATTGTCAGATGGTGTCTGCTAAGTTAGTTTTTATCTCACTTGATAGCACACCATATCCCGTTCGTTTACTGTTACCATGAATGTAGGACGTGTGCTGAACTTGTTCATTGATGCTGAATTTGGTGGTCCGAGTCGAAGATAAGCCAGCGACAGGTATTGATCGCTGATTCTTTAGGCGATCAATGATCATATATTTATGTTCCGATCATCTATCAATTATATCTTCTTTTTGATCCACTGCTGTGCCATTTAAATGGGGTCTGTATTTTATTCGCTCCTGGGCTCTATCTCAATGGTTTTCAGGAAACGATGTTGTCGAAAGGATGACCCTGAGTATACTGCTTGGCTCAATCGTATCGATAATACTCCTACTGAGGAATTGGTCGTCTATTTGGAAGGACAGGCGATCCAGAAATGGATTGCAGCCCGTGAAGAAGCCGAAGCGGCTGGCTATTCCTCCGTGAAGGAATATGACACTGCTATGAACAAACTCCCGGCCGTGCCTATGATTATTTCAGCCGTAGAGGCTGCTTTCCTTCTTGGGTATCTCAATGTGGATGCATACAACGCCGACGTGTGCTCTGAAGCCGTTGCTCATGATCAAGCTAGATTGGCCAGGTTGGAGAAGGACGCTGCATTAGCCACTCGTTTCCAGATCAGGGCTTCTACTCATGGGCGTAATCTGCGTGTTTGTGTTCTCCCGAATTGTGTGGTGTCTCCGTTCTGATTCTATCACAGTCTTC